TACCCGACGACTGGCGAATTCATGACGCCTTCCACGTCAGCCTTCTTCGCAAGTTCGTGCCAGCCACGACCGACATCGCCCGTCAGCAAGCTGCCCCGACAGAACGACCTGTTCCTGAGCCGACCCTTGACCAGGCCCCTAGATTCGTTTTGAGGTAGTCTGAGGCCTCAGAGTACACCGCTCTTCCTAGTCTGGTTGTCAGAGTGACCTGATTTTTGAAGTCTGAGATTTCAGACTACACTTGCATTTCTACGCTGAACATACAGAGTCAGACAATTTTCCTGTTATAATGAAAACACTAAGTAACCTTCTTACATTTCTTCTTGATAGTCTAATACAGGTTCACGTTCTACTACTGCCTCGTCTACATGCTCCTTCCCAGCCCACGAGGGCTCCTCTCTGTGCCTTGCAGCAGGTGCTGTGACCGGCCGGCGCTTCTTGTAGCTGCGCCATATCTCTACTACTCCTGGGACATCTAGCTCATAGTCTAGGAGTGAAATACAGAGCAGATCACTCAGCCTACAGTCCTTAATGCTGCCCCTCTGCCACGTTTTGATGAGATTCTGTCGGGAGAAACCGCGCTCGCACTCGATCGTGCTGAGAGGCAGCACCGCAATCGCCACCCACAGTCCGACCAGGTTGGGGTACGACTGCTGCCAGTCGGGTGTCCTGAGCATCGCACAAAGTCGCGTGTGGAACTTGCGCTTGCTCTTGGGGGCTCTGGCAAGGACCGGACACAGTGTGCGCAGCTCCATCACGGTTTTTTTCTTGTCAATGCCTGCAAGGCAAAACGAGACACGGGTTTAGTAAACGAGCCATAGCCAAAGGGGGAAAGGGGCGGGGTGACACAAAACCATATCAGGTAGTATCTCGTCGGCTTCATCTGCGCGAAACAACGTGACAAGCGACATCAACCACTCCAAGCACTGTGCCTGCCGTGCGTCCCGGTCCTAGTGAGGTTGCCACATCTCTGGAATAAACAGCCGCACTCCGGAAAGTGAGTCAAGGTCGCCGAGCTTGGACTGGAGCTGCTCGACAACAAGCTCGGCCATGTCGGTGCAGAGCGCAACGCAGGCGTGGTGATGACCAGGCCCACGATAGCTTGGGTTTGTGCGTTCGTGAAGCTTCACCTTGAAGCGGTTCATACTGCCGTCGGACGATGCTCCTTCCACCACCATTTCTGGTGTCCCCCCCGGACCGTGCTTCTCAATGAAGCGGTAGAGCCTCTCGGTCGCCCCCCCCCCCCCCCCCCCCCCCCCCCCCCCCCCCCGAAGTCGTCTCCACAGTCGACGTACCGAGCCTCCAGAATCGATGTGGTGCGCACAATCTGCGTGTGCACCAGCGCGTAGTCGAGCTGCATCACAAACATACAAAGAGAATTAGTACAATGGGTCTCGGACTTAAACCAATACAATCTACACCCTCAAATTCACTTACTTCTCGCTTCTGAAAAACTGAGGAGAGGACGTTGAGCTGCTCCAGCATGTCTGCGAGGAACCTGATGAGGAACTGGAACCTGTACGACATGACGAGTTTGTACATGGTCTGGTCCTTCCACTCCGACAACATGACCATGATGGCAGGTAGGACTTGGACGAAGCGGGCAACTACAGCTCCTCTGGACAGCCACCGCACGTCGTGTATGCCTTGGACCTCGAGGATGGTGGACGTGAACACCTCCTGGAGCTCCATGAAGCACTAATGCCACGGCCCCGATCGCCCGAGGTACTCCGCGAACGCGCGGATCACGTCGTCGACCATGTTGAAGGCAGGTATCTTCTCCGCTGCGGCCTTGGCAGCCAAGGCCTCCCTGCTAGACAAAACCACACATGCACAGTTAGTTTTTCATAAACAACCATATTTGCCGTTTACACATGGCGTTAAAACACAAACACACCTGTGAGCGATGCAGTGAAACGAGACCAGGTTGGGGATGAGCATTCGCAGACGAGCAACCACACCGTTTTGACTCCCCACCATCACAGAGGCGCCATCCGTGCTCACTCCCGAGATACGCCGGAGGTCAACGCCGACTGCCCTGAGGTGGGAAAGCAACAAACTGCACAAAGATGCAGCGTCAGCCCTATCAGCCGTTAAATGCGCGACGAACTCAGTGACAACTCGGCCTTCACGGAGAAACGTGGCAAACACAATCATGTGCTTGCCGCGCCGACGGTCGGTGCTCTCATCGAGCGTTATCCCGATGAAAGGGCTCGAGAGGAGGTGCTCCAGTTGCGTTGTCTGAAGCCATGTCGCAATGGCTTGAGTGAGCTCTCCAAAGCCGTACCTACAGAAGGAAGACAAGGTCGTTAGTGACGGTCAGCAACGATACAACGTTGTACACACGGGACACACATAAGAATTTACGTACGTGTTATAGTATGTGCCGTATCCTTGCTCGGGAAACCCGAGCACTTTCTTCTTCGCCAGGTAGCGCACGAGCCGGATCCACGAGTCCATGGGCTCGTTGCACTTCCCCATGAAGTACAGCGCGTCGACGAGCGACGACACCTGCAGCAACTCCATGTCTTGCGCTTTCGGGTGCATGTCGATGCGCTGCTGTCGCCCGTACTTCTGCAGCAAATCCTCCTGGCGCTGCAGAGCAAATCGGTGCTTCACCGTCCCTTCGTGCTTCTTGAAGGACTGTGTCTGCACGTCTGTAGCTCCCTCGGTACGCCGCCCACACTTGCCTTTCAATCCCGCAAACTCCAAGCAAATACTGCACTTGAAAGAAGGGGCACCAGAAGAGGTCTTAGTTAGAACAAGCCAACTGTAATCAGTGGATCACTTCGATTTGAATCTCTCATGCGCTTCCTCGTATTTCAACTCAGGATTATCGGATTTGGGCTTTGAGCTGTCCTGCGTGGGCGTCGGGCTGCCCTGCGTGGGCATGGAGCTGTCCTGCATGGGAGAATCGTCGCCCGCAGGAGTCACAACGGTCGATGGAGGAGGCGGAGTGGCCCAACCAAGGGTGGACTGCCGGTACCGCAGCTTCGACGGTGGCGCGGGACGAGAAGGTGCACCAACAGACGCCTCATGGGGCACCGCCTGTTGCGCAGCGGTCGCTGGTTCAGTGACGGCCTCGTGCAGAGGTGTGATGTCTCTGGGAATAGGTGGGCGGCTCGAGCTAGGTTGCGACAGTGGCGTTGGAGGTGGATTGTGCTTCGGTAGGACAGACCTAAGAAAATCTAGACCGGTGAGAGGGTCGGATACTGGGCCGGATACTGGGCGACCGACTGCATCATCCTCGTCGTCGGGCCCATCCCCGACAGCCTCTGTAACTGCCATTGAGCCTGCCGAGCAGAGGTGTAGCGAGCTAGGAGGTGGGAGCTTGAAACAAGGGCTCCTACACTAGTTTGAGTCCAGGCAAATGGAGCGGGCCATGAGAGAGACTGCAAGAACGGTGACCAAGAAGAAGATGAGAAACCCTCGTGTAATAGGACCTCCCATCTCCCAGAAGGTCATTGCATGCACTGCACCTGGGCGTGAATCCTTGGAAGGTAGGGTGATTGGGGTTGATGGATGGAGTCACGTGAGAGAAGCAACGCGGTTAGAGCCCTGCGTTGGCAACTGGGAAGGTGGGGTGGGGTGGATGGACGTGGTGACGTGAGAGTGGCAGCGCGCTGCGAGCTATGCCCTGGCAACATTGAAGGCGGGGTGTGGTGGATGGTCGTGGTGTACAGCGAAGGTGCAGTGCGTGGCGAGCTATGTGTTGGCAAGGAATCTTGCCAACAGTGCCTGCGGCGCAGCCGCGATTGGTCAGAATTGGGTGGGATTACAGCAACGCTGTACCAACGCAACTGTGCGTTGTCGCGCTGGCGAAATCGTGGGTTCCCGCCCGTGATTGACGGGGTTACTGCTCCACGCCGCCAGGCTGGACCCTGCCCCTGTATTATCGGATTCAGAATGCACCCCCGATACAAGACTGAGGCACAGCCTACACTACTAAAAATAGTTTGAATTTACAAACAAGTATGTTAAAAAAACTCTGAAACATCAGACAAGGCCCTACCAAAAATTCTTAGAGTGCAGACTAGGTACCAAAAAAAAGTCTGAACTGACTCTGATTCAGACTCTAAAGTCTGATATCTAGGGCTCTGCCCTTAACCCTTCGAAAATCCTGGCTCATCGGGTCCGCCTTGACGCAGCTGGCCGACACGTGGATTTCTTAATCCGCTGGACTGACCGCACCGGTGAAGACGACACGTGGGTGCCATTCGCCTCGCTCAACGCCTCGCCACTTGTTGGTGATTACTTCGCGCGCAAGCGTATTTCGGATATTGACCGCCTTTCTTAAGAGGGGGGGGGGGGGGGGGGGGGGGGGTAGTGTAAGGAATTTTCCCGAATTCCTTATCGGGGTTGACTGCTTCGCGTACAACCCGATTTTCGGAGTTCGCACGTTCGGCCGATTTCAACGCTGCCAAGGCTCCTCGCGTCGCCTTCGGCATTTCCATCGCCAAACTTGCACCCAACCTCGTCTTCCGAGGTTTCCTCCTAGCTAGGCTAGCCCTACATTAGTCTGCGCATTCATTGTATTCTCATTTCATTCAGTCACAGTCTCGTTATTCGTTTACCTGCGCACTCTCTTTTACAACTCATAACAGTTTGACCTGATTTTAGGTGTTACACTACTACACCTTGTTGTACAAAAATATTAATAACTTAGGTTTGCAAAACGCTTCGCAACCCTACGACTACGTCGCCTCTTGTTTTTTTTTCTGAAGCAACAGCAAACCAAACCCTAGCCGGCCCCTTCAAAACCAAAGCAGAGGTTTCTTTCCTGTCTCACGTCCTCCTGCGGCGAGGTCTTTTAGTTGTCCGTCAGATCCGGAACGTCCACGGTTCTTTTAGTCTTCTCAACTTCTCGGTTCTCTACTTTCTTAGCATAGGGCTTAGTTTCCGTGGCCTGCTAGGAACCGTCTCGCTCACGTTTCTGCCCTTCGCACGCCCTTAGGGGCCCGATCTTTGTGTCTGAGAGAGGGACCCCTAGTCTCGTCAGCATGCCTTCCGTGGTGAACATCGCGGAGGCGGCAGAAGCGGCGAAGCGAGTCGCCGCCGCCTTTATGGCGGCGCGAGCTTCCGGCCAGTCCGAGGAGCAGGCCGCTGCCGCCGCGTCGTCCGTTGCCAACCCGGAGCCGGTTAAAACGCCGTCTTTCGTCATTCCCAAGAACAAAATATCGATTCCGGGGCAATCGTTGGCGATCGTGCCGGTCGGGGGAAGCGTTACGAAAACTGGCGAGGAGGCGGAGGATGATAAGCCGAGGCGCCCTCGGAAGTACCGGTGGGGACCAGATCCGCTTCTGGATCCCGCGACGCGAAGGGGTCGCGCGCTGGCCATTCAGGTACGCCGTCGGTGTTTGAGTCTAGAGGGTTGTTAGTAAATATGAGATTAAAGACGTCATAGAAGCATTTGAAGAGATACTCGGATTCTGAGATGTTTTCTAAAGCTAAAATGTCAGATCTTGGACTAATTTGTGTGCGGAGCCGCAAATTGATATCCCTCTTCTGAATTTGTTTCGCTGTACAGACGTGGGGTTTGTTTTGTGGCAATATGGTCGCCTTTTTTTTTTCTTTCCTCTCTTTGATTTCGATAGATGGTTTCTTGGTTATGTTTCATCTGTTTGTATCTTTCTGCATACGCGAATCGAGCAGATCTCGTCACAGCTGGAGTCGAACACGCTGGAGATTGACGAGAAGGAGGCCACGCGCTCGCCGTTCCGGCTGTTATGCATTAAATTTTTATATCCGTTTTTTCCTCCTTTCTTTTTGTTTGTTCTCCTGCAGACACGTATCGAGCAGATCTCGTCGCAGCTGGAGCTGAACACGTTGGAGATCGACGAGAACGAGGCCACGCGCTCGCCGTCCCCGCCGCCGATCTACGACAACATGGGACAGCGCCTCAACACCCGCGATGTACGTTATTGCTGTTTGTGATCATAGTAAACCAGCTTGGTTTTTTCATATTCCATTCCACGCGCTCGCCGTCCCCGCTGCCAATTTACGACAACATGGGACAGCGCCTCAACACCCGCGACGTACGTTACCGCCTTTAACTATCTGTCAGCGCCGAGTTGATTTTTTATTAACTTTTCTTTTCTCAAAATATCAATTGTTGGAATAAATCGTTCGTCTACGACATGGGCTAGGAACTCACACCACGACGTACGGTATTATCGTTGAGCAAATCAACCGGCTTATGTCCTGTATCCTTTACCATCCATGATCCGCACTTGCCGGTCTCGTTTTTCGGCCCGGTTTTCTGCTTGTCCTGCGGAGCGATTAGGTTGAGGATTTCTGGACTTGTCAAACTTAAATTCACTAATTCGGATGTTCTGCCTCAAAACAAAAATCGTCCGTTTTTTTGTCTCCTTGCAGCAAAGGAAGCGCGACCAGCTTGACATTGAAAAGCGCAGAGCAATAGGTATGGCCAGTCAGATTTACATGCTCAAACTTTTCCTGTTTCCCTTAGTTTTTTCCGTTATTGCGTCAGTATCTGTCTGTTTTAGTGGAACTCAACAACACTGTTTGGCTTCTCACACCGTTTCTTTTTTTTTCTTCTTCTTTTTTTCTTGACGATTTCCGTACAGCCGAGTGTATCAATCTCAACCCCCACTTCAAGCCACCTGCGGGTTACAAGCCTGTGCTGGAAGAGGCGAAGCTCTTTGTGCCGGTAAGTTGCAATACGAATTTTGCAAGATTTCAATTTCGGATACGAGTTCGCTGTTTTTGTATTTGCAAATTTCCGTGGGTTTTCTGTCGGGTAAGTCGCTGCCGAGTACGGTTTCTTACAGCGGTAGCATTCCGTGCTGCCAGCCTAGTTGACTTCTCCCCATGCAACGCAATTTTTGAAAATTAGGTAGCAAGTCCGCAGTGTGAATTGGGAGTCCGTTAGAGATAGAAGGTAGTCGGCTAAGTTTGAGCCTGAGAAATCTAATTTTCACATTTCCAAACAATCCTTCTGTACTTCCCTGTGTCATGCGTTAGTCTGCTTTGCTTCGCAAGTGTTTTGCCAGTGGCGGTTGATGACATCCTTTAACGCGTACAGTTGTCCAGAAAGGCGTGGTAATTTCTCTGGCCTACACTGCACCACGTGATGTTGCTGCTTTGCCCCTCCCTCGTCGTTGTTGCTATCTTTGTGGAGTTTCCTGACGTGTTGGTTTTTCTCTCTGCTGTGTTTTTTCTCGACTCCCCTTCTCGCACGCGCTGCGTCTCCCTCTTTTCCTACCCTCTTCCCTTTTTTCTTCTCCATCTCTGCCCATTTTCCTCCCGCTCCCCTTCTCGCCCCCTCTCCCTCTCCCTGCATTTCTCCCTCGCCCTTCCTCCTCCGCCCTCCCGTCATCCGCCCTTCCGCCTTCCGCGCGCCCTCCTGCCCTTCTTCCCCTGTCCGGCATGCGTCCGTCCGTCGTACCGTCCCTATCACACACGTGTGTGCGCACTACCGCCGCCCTCCATACAATCACGAGCAGGTCAAGCAATACCCGGGCTACAACTTCATCGGCCTCATTATAGGCCCGCGCGGCAACACTCAAAAGCGGATGGAACAGGTGAGCTCTTGTAGATCGTATTGAAGTGTCTTATGAGGTGTATGTTGCAGTCACGAGCAGGTCAAGCAATACCCGGGTTACAACTTCATTGGCCTTATTGTTTTTGTTGTGAAAAGGATACTAGGATTTTTTACCCCTTTTGTTTATTTCTTCCCATTCGCCATGCATATGTCGTTCTTGATTTCACACTTACCACTAATAGTCTCTTACCTCCTTCGGTTTGCCCTGGTTGCAGGAAACGGGTGCTCGTATCGTGATCCGAGGGAAGGGCGCAACGAAAGAAGGAAAGGTAAGGCTGCTCTGTTGCTCGTCTGTACCCTATTGGCCTATCGCCCTGTCGCTCGTCTGTACCCTATTCGCCTATCGCCCTGTCGCTCGTCTGTACCCTATTGGCCTATCGCCCTGTCGCTCGTCTGTACCCTATTGGCCTATCGCCCTGTCGCTCGTCTGTACCCTATTGGCCTATCGCCCTGTCGCTCGTCTGTACCCTATTGGCCTATCGCCCTGTCGCTCGTCTGTACCCTATTGGCCTATCGCCCTGTCGCTCGTCTGTACCCTATTGGCCTATCGCCCTGTCGCTCGTCTGTACCCTATTCGCCTATCGCCCTGTCGCTCGTCTGTACCCTATTGGCCTATCGCCCTGTCGCTCGTCTGTACCCTATTGGCCTATCGCCCTGTCGCTCGTCTGTACCCTATTGGCCTATCGCCCTGTCGCTCGTCTGTACCCTATTGGCCTATCGCCCTGTCGCTCGTCTGTACCCTATTGGCCTATCGCCCTGTCGCTCGTCTGTACCCTATTGGCCTATCGCCCTGTCGCTCGTCTGTACCCTATTGGCCTATCGCCTTGTCGCTTCTAGTCGTTGTTCATATCTGTTGTCCTACGACGCCCTGTCGTCGTAGAACCAAGGACCTGGCGGGAGCGAGCGTGGACCTGCATGTGCATTTGCGCTGCCCATCCCTCCCTTGGTCCCTCTCCTTTGTATCGTCTCCGCTTGCTTCTCTACCCTCTTTATCAGGCAGAAGGACAAGTATCAGGAGGGGGCGAGCGAGGACCTACACGTCTACATCTGCACTGCTCATCCCTCCCTCGCCTGCGCTGCTCATCCCTCCCTCGCCTGCACTGCTCATCCCTCCCTCGCCTGCGCTGCTCATCCCTCCCTCGCCTGCGCTGCTCATCCCTCCCTCGCCTGCGCTGCTCATCCCTCCCTCGCCTGCGCTGCTCATCCCTCCCTCGCTTGCGCTGCTCATCCCTCCCTCGCCTTGTTCCTCTCTTCCTGACGTTTCGCTCGTTTCCCCTAATTTTCTCACCCCTGCAGAAGGACAAGTACCAGGAGGGAGCGAGCGAGGACCTGCACGTGTACATCTGCGCTGATAAGCTGGAGAAGGTGGATGCTGCTGTTGACATGATCGAACCGCTCTTGACCCCCATTGACGTGAGTAATAAGCGGTCACCAGGTAAGTGCGTGCAACAGCCGGGTTACCAGCTGTTCTTGACAAAAGGCGGGTGAACAGAGGGAGCGAGTGAGGATCTGCACGTGTACATCTGTGCTGACAAGCTGGAGAAGGTGGATGCTGCTGTTGACATGATTGAAGCGCTGCTCGCCCCCATCGACGTGAATAACAGGCGGGTTACCAGGTGGTTGAGTGCGTGTAACTGGCTGGGTAAAGGGAGTGAGGATCTGTATGTGAACATCTGCGCGGACAAGCTGGAAAAGGTGGATGCTGCTGTTGACATGATCGAACCGCTGCTTACTCCCGTAGATGTGAGTAGTGTGTGTGCGTACACCTGGTCACTGTGTTTGTGTTCTGGTAGCACCCCCCTTTGATGGTTTGGCTGCTGACAAGCTGGAGAAGGTGGATGCTGCCGTTGACATGATTGAACCGTTGCTTACACCCATTAACGTGAGTAAAAAGCGTGTGACCAGGTAGGTTTGTGTATCATCTGGTTACCAGCTCTTACCTTATCACTGAATGTGTGGATACTGTCGGCATGATTGAATTGCTGCTCACACCCATTGACGTGAGTAACAGCAGCAGCAGCATGTGTGCTTCCTGTGCGGCCAGCGAGATTGAAGAAGGGTTTTGAGACGTCTCACACCCATTGACGTGAGTAGCAGCAGCAGCAGCAGCAGCAGCAGCAGCAGCAGCAGCAGCGTGTGTGCTTCCTGTGCGGCCAGCGACTCTCACAGTGCTCATTCGACCTCTCCGTTCCTCTCTTTTCCTTTTCTTTTCTCTTACCAACAGGAATGGAGGAACATTCACCGGCGCAAGCAGCTGAGAGAGCTCGCGCTGATGAACGGAACGATGAAGGACGTGCAGCAGGTGTGCTTCCTGTGCGGGGAGGCCGGCCACAAGGACTTCCAGTGCCCCAAGGAGAAGCTTCAGACCTTCAATGCCAAGGTCAGTAACCCGGTGGTAACCAGATTGTAACCCAAGGTAGGGTAGGTGCAAACTGTAGAGCAGTAGCGCCAAGAGCGCCAGCAGCAGCAGGTGTGTGCTTCCTGTGCAGCGAGCCGGGCCACAAGGACTTCCAGTGCCCCAAGGAGAAGCTGCAAACCTTCAACGCCAAGGTCAGTGTTACTTTGTGGTAACCAGGTGGTAACCAGGTGTAGGGCAGGTGATAGCAGCAGCAGCACCTACAGCAGCAGGTGTCCCACTAAGAGCTGGTAACCCCGTGGTAACCATGTGGTAACAAGAGGTAGGGCAGGTTGTAACCCTATGAGCTCAACCACGAGCCGGGTCACAAGGACTTCCAGTGCCCCAAGGAGAAACTGCAGATTCTCAACGCCAAGGTCAGATGGTAACCAGAAAGTAACCTGATGGTAACCAGAAAGTAACCTGATGGTAACCAGAAAGTAACCTGGTGGTAACCAGGTAAGGATTCCCAAACACCTATGTGTGATGGCTGGCTGTCAACGCTCCTGCCTATGCTTTCAAGATTCTTAAGAATAATCACCTGTATTGAATTTTTTCACACCCACCTGTGTCTGCCTGTGTTGTTGCCCATGTGTGGTGGTGATTGCAGGTGACGTGCGCCATCTGCGGAGATGGAGGCCATCCGACTGTTGATTGCCCCAGAAGGAGGGCAGGAGGGCCTCCGGTATGTGCCATTCCTCTCCTAGCCTCGCCATCTTTCTCTCCCGTGCATGTCTCTCTCTCTGCCTACCCCTCTCTTCCTCCCTCCATCTGTGGGGATGTGTCTGCCTACCCCTCTCTTCCTCCCTCCATCTGTGGGGATGTGTCTGCCTACCCCTCTCTTCCGCCCTCCTCCATCTGCGGAGATGGAGGTCATCCGACCGTTGATTGCCCCAGAAGGAGGGCGGGAGGAGGGCTGCCGGTATGTGCCCACCCCTCTCCTAGCCTCGCCGCCTTTCTCTCCCGCGCATGTTTCTCTGTCTGCCTACCCCTCTCTTCCGCCCTCCTCCATCTGTGGGGATGTGTCTGCCTACCCCTCTCTTCCGCCCTCCTCCATCTGCGGAGATGGAGGCCATCCGACCGTTGATTGCCCCAGAAGGAGCGCAGGAGGCCCCCCCCACTAAGTTCCTATCTCTCCTCTACCGATCCCGTTGTACCTACCTTGTCCCTCTGCTCTGCCTGCCTGCCTCTACCCATCCCCCTCTACCTACCTCTGTCCTTCAACTCTGCATTTGTGCCTACTTTTCTTCTTCTCGCAACCCGCCTTCCCCCCTCTCCTCAAGTGTTTCCGTTTTGCTTTCGCGTAGCGTTTGTTTTCCCCTGCTGATCTTGCTCGTGCTTCTTAACCGTCTTCCTCCCACAGGGCAAGGGCATGGACCAGGAGTGTCAGTCATTCCTCAGCGAGATCAGCGGCACAGGCGGACCAGACGGAAGGGACGACAGTAGGCGTCAGCAGCTACCTCACTCTGCCCCTCCCCCGGGTGCTTCCCTTTCTCTCCTTCCTTTCTCCTCCCACAGGGCAAGGGCATGGACCAGGAGTATCAGTCCTTTCTCAATGAAATCAACGCCCGCACCAGTCGGCTCTGTGTGTCTTACCAGCTGTTTACCTTTTCCCGTCCCCCTCTCCTGTGCTCCCGTCTCTCTCCTTCCTTCCTCCTCCCACAGGGCAAGGGCATGGATCAGGAGTATCAGTCCTTCCTCAACGAAATTAACGCCGGCAGTGGTGGACCGGACGCGAGGGGCGATGGGAGAGGGGATGGAAGAGGTGACGGTAGGGGGGATGGTAGGGGGGATGGCAGGGGGGATGGCAGGGGGGACGGCAGGGGCGATGGCAGGGGCGGTTATGGAGATCGGAGGGGTGGAGATGGGTACAGGGGTGGTGGTGATGGGTACAGGGGCGGGGACGGGTACAGGGGTGGGGATAGTTACAGTCGTGGTGGTTACAGCGACATTGGTTATGGTGGTAACCGCGGGGGGCCAGGGGGAGGGGGGGGAGCGCCGGGGGGAGGTTCTTATCCCCCGGGGCGGGGTCCCCCAGGGGGTCCCCCCCCCGGGTCCTATCCCCCGCCAGGCATGGGCGGACCTCCCCCCGGCCGCCCCGCGCCCTCGTCCTTCCCCCGCCCGTTCGCCCCAGGGCAGGGTCCCCTGGGGATGCCAGGTCAGCAGCCAGGTCAGCAGGGAGGAAGCGCGTACAGCCACGTGGGCATGCCAGGTCAGCCGCCCATGCGCCCGAGCTTGACTCCTGGTCCGCCTATGGTCCCCCGGGGGCAAGGTCCCCCGCCTGTGGGGGGGTATCCTGCAGGGGGGGCGGGGGGAGCGCCCCCGCCTGGGGGCCCGGGGGGAGCGCCCCCTCCCCCAGGCCCTGGGGTGTATGGTCAGCAGCAGCCGTCGCCGCAGCAGCAGCAGTCTCAGTACCCGCAGCAGCCGCCGCAGCAGCAGCAGTACCCTCCTCCCCAGCAGCAGCAGGGGTACCAGCCTCAGCAGCAGCAGCCGTACGCGCCGCCGCATCAGCAGCCGGGTCAACCGAGTCAACCCGGTCAACCGCCGTCCAGCCAGCTGGCCTGGGGGGATGATCGCGCCAGCAAGCTGCCGAGAATGGACGGTGGGCCGACAGACGCCCCTTCCTCTTACCCGCCGCCCCAGCAACAGCAGACAGGACAAGGAATGCCGCCCCGGCAGCGCACAGGGATTGGGTATCAGGCCCCTCCTCCTGGCCCGTCTGGTCCGTCTGGGTATGGCCCGCCCCGCCCCGCACCTGGATACGGACCTCCCTCCGGACCTCCTTCCGGACCTCCATCCGGACCTCCCTCTGGTCCTCCCGGGCCATCTGGACCAGCCGGGTATGGCCCTCCTTCCGGACCTCCCTCCGGACCTCCAGGACCATCTGGTCCGGGATACGGGGCGCCTCCGCCAGGCCCGTCCGCGGGGCAGAGCTATGGGGCCGCACAGGGGCAGGGGTATGGGTCCGCGCAGGGGTCTAGTGCGGTGCAGGGGTATGGGCAGGGGCCGGCGCAGGGGTCCGCGCAGGGGCAGGGGTATGGGTCCGCGCAGGGGCAGGGTCCGCAAGGATATGCGCCTGGTCCAGCCCCAGGGGGAGGTTATGCCTCCCCTGCTTCCGCTGGCCAGCAGTATCCGCCACAGCAGCCTCCCCAGCAGCAGCAGCAGCAGCAGCAGTATGGGATGGCTCAAGCAGGAGGGGCAGCGCCCGCTCCCCCCGCCTTCCCCCCTCCGCCGCAGCCCAGCTCCCCCCCGCCCCCGCCTCCGCCTCCGCCCAGCAGCGGGGACTCCCCTCCCCCGCCTCCCCCCACAGACCAGCCCGCGCCCCCGCCCATGCCCCCTACCGCGGGCGCCTATGGTGCTCCGTCGTGGCAGCAGCAGCAGCAGCAGCAGCAGCAGCAGGCGCCTCAGCAGCAGCAGCAGCAGCAGCAGCAGCAGCAGCAGGGGCAGCAACAGCAGCAGCAGGGGCAGCCGGGGCAGCAGGGTGGCGGGTTTTATCAACCCCAGCAGCAGCAGCAGCCTCATGCAGGCGGGTTTGTAGCAGGAGGAGCAGCAGCAGGGGGAGCAGGAGCAGCAGGGGCAGGAGCCGCAGGAGGAGGGCCTGGGGCAACTGGACCCGGGATGGGGGGACCAATGGGGGGCGGAATGGGGGGAAACATGGGGGGAGGCATGGGCTATGCCCCCCCCAGGGGTCCGCCTACGGGGCAGCCTCCTTTCACCCCCCCTGCTGGAGCTCCCCCTCCCTACATGCCCGGCCGCCCCCCCATGCCGGGCGGCGGTTACGGTGGTAACCAGTTCGCCCCTCCCCCTCAGTGGGGGCCTGGGACCCCCCTGGGGTTCGGGGGACCTGGTGCTCCCCGCCCTGCCTGGGGGCCTGGGGGAATGGGGGGCCCGGGGGGACCGGGGGGAATGGGGGGAATGGGGGGACCTAGGGGGCCTGGGGGAGCTTCCTCTTCCCCCTTTGGCCCTGGTGGCGCTCCTGGGTTTGGGCTAGGGGGTCCGCCTCGCCCTTTCCCCGGGGCTATGGGGGCGCCCAGGTTCCCTGGTCCGGGTGGTTACCAGCCGGGGGGTCCGGGTTTCGGGGGTGCTAGGCCTTCTGCTGCTCCCCCTGCGACTGGAGGAGGACAGGGAGAAGAAGATGCCGAGTATGAGAAGCTGATGGCATCGATTGGGGTGCAGTAGAGTGTGGAAGGAGAGAACAGTATCAGTCACAGGGATGTTATAGGTGGTGTTTGCAGCGGTGTGTACGAGAGGCTGGGGTGGCAGAGGAGCGTTGATGTGCACGCTGTGACCAACCTGTGTGTGTGAGGGGGCAGGGGGAGGAGGAAGCTTCGGAGTGTGAGAAGCTGATGGCGTCAAATGGTGTGCTGTAGAGGAGAGGACTGGCTGAAAGGGAGGTAACAGGTGCAGGGGTGTTCCGGAGGTTGCAGGGTGTGGAGGAGTGGCTGTGGTGGCAGAGGGGTGTAGATGGGTGTTGCTATCTGTGACCAACCCCTGTGAGCAGGCAGGGGGGAACGGTTGATTTGGAGAATTTGTTGGTGTGTAGGTCTGATTTCCGTGTGGAGCTAGGTTTTCCTGTCTAACTCCTGCCCTGACGCTCCCTCTCCCCCTCCCCCCCTCTCCTCCCTTAGTCGTTCCCGCCTCTCCTCCCCTCCACCTCCCCTCCCCCCCTCCTTCCTCTTTCCCCTTCTTCCTCCCCCCCCCCCCCCCTGTGTCGCACTCTTTTCTGGTTCGTTATGGGATTCACTACTTGTGGTGGTTAGGAAGGGTATGGATGCGCTGTTATGATAAAATGGTTTAAATGTTCAAGATGCTATTCTTTTGCCTGTATTGCTTGATGCTGCGAGCCTCCACCCGAACTAATTATTGCAGTACAGTAACCCTCCGTGCGTTTGCATGAATGGCATCCGCTTTGTGCATTATCGGACTCGCCCGTGACGAGTTGGATTGATGTGCCCATGATCTCATGCGTGAGACCTCCGCATCGTCCAGTCAACAAATTTCTTGCACACGCCAGCTATCGTGCATAACTGCCAGGTGTGCATCCATGTTTGCGGCTGGATTTTGCAATTCCACGAACCTTGGGCGGAATGACTGTGGCAGTGAGCTGCTGGATTTTGCAATTTCACGGTGATTGGGCGGGGATGCGGGGAAGGCCCACCACATCCCAGCAGTGACGGGCTTTCACTGTGTTCTTTCGCTTCTTTCGCTCGCCGAAGCAGAATCGGTATTTGTGCTTGCAAGCGATGTGAGCGAACGCTGGCGGCAGATCAAAGCTCGTAACCGTGCTCACCCCAGTAGATCGTGGCAGCAAGTAAGTTCCAGGGTTGAGAGTAGGGGCGCTTGCGCCCCCTGAGCACGAAATGTTATTCTGCTAGGGTTGAGTTGAGAGGGGCGCTTGTGCCTTGAGTACGAAATGTCCCTTCTGCGAATCTCTTGAGTTTCGGAGACTCCGGGTCGCAGGAAAAAAAGTCGCATCCCATGTTCCTGGGCAGGCTGAAACCTCACCTGAAAAACTGTCGCTTGCGCGAAGGATCTTGTATCCAATCAGAGGGCAAGCGATGTCAAATTTGAAATGCCTCCAATCACGCTCCGTGTTGCCCTGCCAGGGTCGTATCGCTGCCTCCCCTCGCCAGTCCGAATCGCTGTTCTAGTCTACAGTGGGTGTACATGTACAGTATTGGAGAATGCCCTTGACTTGTGTGGTCAGTATGATTAAACCACGTTCACTGAATACCAGATGCCAGAATTGCAAGGCTCTGTAAACTACATGTTTTTTGTGAGGGATATTGGATAGCGACCCTGCAAATCACCAATCTGTGGGGGAGATCTGATAACTAACATGTTTCGCAACCACTGTCGACACTGTACGCTGTCTCCTTTTGCCGGGGCTCTTTTCAGCATTCCTCCTCCCTAAGTAGACCACTCTATTTCTGGAATGACAGTGACAGTAGAAGTCGACAAGCTACTAAATGCCACTGGCGTGTTCCCTTTAGAGTGGGTTGGCGGGAAGGGGAGGAGGGCAGGAACAAATATCCCCACGTTTGGTTGCGTTCGAACTGAAATTATCTTCAGGGGAACGTCTCCACTTATCCCACACAACCAGTGACCTTATTTAGTAGTTCCTCTTCACACCCTCTCACCCACCCAACTTTCTCATCTCAAGTGCAGGATTTCTGCTGGGTTCGATGGGAGCATGTCCGAATCCTGCAGAAATAAATACACTGCTAAAATACATACGTAGTGCAGAGAAAGCCCCAGAAAATTGTTGAGTACGTCGCCGGAAACACACTACGGTGCCGGGTGAACCTAGATTACCGCTCTGTTTCCGCAAGTCCCCCAAAACAAATCATGGTTCAAAACACTCTGCTGCTGACCCCCCTGGCTAGCAGTCTGTCGGAAGGGGATGAGAGGCTTCCTCTCTTCCTTCCCCACCTTCCCCCGTTCCTTCGATCTTCCCCCATTCCCAAACATTCCCCCCCTCCCCTTCCGCTGAACTGTACTCCCCCCACACCTCCTCCTCCGCTCCCCCTCCGTTGTTTCCCAAACTTCCCTCGCTTTCCCCCTCCTTCCCTGTCCCCCTCCCTTTTTCCCCCAACCAATCCGCCAGCACATTTCACACAGTGCCTCCGCTTCGCGTTCAAGCGCGACTGTATTCCGCCTTCCCCTACCTGCCCGCCGACGTCACCCTCCAAGAAGTGACTCGCAACACTGGCAGCCACCCACTCACCTGCTCTGCCTGCTCGCCTCGTCTTGTTGTCACGTCTATCTAGCTTTCACCACTTTCGTTTGCGCCTGCTCCCGCGCGCGCCTGTCAAGAAGCACCCTCCTGCCTACGGCTTTCTGCCGCCTTCATGCTCCTCCTCTCCCCTCCTCCCCTCATCCTGCCCTCCTCCCTCACTCGTTCCTCGGGCCTGCATCAGCAACACTCTCCACTCCAACATCCGCCGAACGAAACCTGTTGACCGTCGCGGTGATAATTTCAGGTGAAGTAGAAAGAAAACACACGAGGCGAGACGAGACATTACAGACAGACAGCATCAAAGCATCACAGAGCATCACGTGGGACAGAACGAGACATCCGAGAGACGTATGAGACAGGCAAGAACCTTGCTCCCTCACATCACGGCCCTAATTCTGCATCGCAGCGGTTTAGTGGAAAACTGTATTTCTGCTTCCATTTGACCGTCAGTCAAGGGCACGGTAGGGACTCTGTCATTTCGCTGCTTCCCTCCTCCTGAGCTTGGACCTGCGGCGCAATTAGATCAGCGCTCTAGTAAATAGATCCGTTGGTAGATACTCCGCCGACATTCCCGCTTAGGTCAAAATTGCGCAGCCCCATAGGAGCGAGCGCGCGGAAACAGAACTGCGCGGAGGCGGAACGTTGCGAAGGCGGAATTGCGCGCCGAAAGATTGAGCGGGAAGTCCAGCAGTAGCGCGGAGCTTGGACAGCGCGCGGAAATTGCGTAGCGCGGAACTTGGGTCGCGCGGCGACGCGAGCGAGCAATGTGCGTTACTCTAGGCGGCTCAATAATAGCTCTCGTGGATTCGCGATTGGCAATGTGCGCGGCGCGGAGGTAGGCGGAGCGCACCAGGCGTGTCTTAGATTAGCGGCGAAGGGAGGATTAGAAGGGAGCAGAACATATATTCAGTAGGCGACGCGAGAAAAAATTGGCGGTACAATGGCCGGCGCGGGGACGGGAGCAATTTTCGCTCGAGAGGGAATGCACGCGGAGGGGATTCCGGGGACGGAATTGCGCGCGCATGGGAGGATGGCTGGCGCAGAAGGATTGGGGGAATTTCCGCCGGTTGCGGAAGCCCGCGAGGGGGGCGGGGGGGCCGCGGGGAGCGAGTGGTCCGCGGAGAAATACCGCGACTTCGTGGAGAGTATCGTGGAGGAGAGCGCGCGAATGGCGGAGCAGCAGCGCGGGGAGGGCGGAAATTTGGGGAGCGGGAATTCGCAGCAACATCATCAAAGAACGCAACACATGCAAGGTCAAAGCAGGCCGCGCAAACAACGGGCGGGAGGTGGAGGGGCAATTAACGGAAGGAGCGCAACAGGGGGGGCGCATGTTGCCGCTGCTCCGTCGGGCGCGAACGGCGAAACTGGTAACGGCGATTCTTCGCAGGCTGCTGCGCTGGCTTCGGTGTTACAGTTTTTCGCGGACTCGTTGGCGCAACACGAGGGGGGCACGGCGGAGATTCCGCCGTCTCCGTCAAGCAGCGCGCAGGCCAAAGCGCGCTCGCCGCGCGCCACGTCAGATCCCGCGGGATGCGCGGCTCCGCAGGACCGTGGAGGCGCAAGCGGCGGCGGAAATTGCGCCGCGAACGGCGCTGGTGGTGCGGAATGCGCGAGCGCGTTGAGCGCGGATGCGACAGGCGGCGCGGCGGATGCAGCGCGGGCAGCGGAGAATTCGTTTGGCGGAAGTAAACCCGACGAAATGCGCGACGGAAGCGCGGAGTTATTTGACTTCGGAAATTTTCGTATGGGCAGACAAGATTCCGATCCGGGCAGGGGCGGCGGAACTTCGGGTGGAGCGCTATTGGGCGGAAATGGTCGCGGGGAAAAGGGACCGAAGAAAAACGGGCAGAAGAAGGGGCAGGCGGGTAGAGGAGTGCAGAGGAAACAACAGCAGCCGCCGCCGCCGCAGCAGCAGCAGCTTAACTGGAATTCGCCGAACCAATTTGCACCTTCACCGAGCCAGAATCTGCTGAGCCAAATCAGCGTATCACCGAACCAAAATGGGTTGCCGAACCAACTCGGGCTTTCACCAAACCAGAACGGTCTGACAAATCAGTTCGGGACTTCACCGAACCAAAGTGGTCTACCGAACCAGCAGGAACAGTCCCTTCCCAGCAAGCACGCAGTCTGTAAGATCCCCCTTTGTCAATCCAGAAGCGGTTACAAAATTATCTACACAATCTAAACTCGCAGCTCTTATGAGAAATTTCATACTTGATTGCAGAATAGCCTGCCCATGGTAATTACCCATTGCTCTTGTTCATTTTTCCTCGTACTGTGCTCTTCCGTCTCTCTCCTCTGCTTTCCGCATTCTTCCCTTTCTCCTCCTTCCTGTGCCCACAACCCCTCACCGCCCCCATCCCCACCGCAGGTCCCCCCGCGCCCCAACCTCCCCCCTGCGCGCCCCCATCAGTCCCGCCTCTGCTTTCCCCCTGCGAGAATCACCTCAACTCCAAACACATACCTGCCCGAAATACTGCCCCGATTTCTGCCCCGGGCACAAGGAAATTCGTGCTCGTGGGGGCTCCAAACCCCCCAGCCGCCCCTCCTGCTGCTGCTGCCGCTGCTGCTGCTACTTCACCTTTTTCTCCCGGGAACCCTAATCCGACAACCAAAACAGGGCCCCTCGCTCCCCCTTCCCCGCTCGCTCCCCCTTCCCCGCTCGCTCCCCCTTCCCCGCTCGCTCCCCCTTCCCCGCTCGCTCCCCCTTCCCCGCTCGCTCCCCCTTCCCTTCTCGCTCCCCCTTCCCCGCTCGCTCCCCCTTCCCCGCTCGCTCCCCCTTCCCCGCTCGCTCCCCCTTCCCTTCTCGCTCCCCCTTCCCCGCTCGCTCCCCTTCCCCCACTTGCTTCCCCTCCCCCGCTTGCGGGAAAGCGGGTGATGCCACGTGGGCAAGCGCAAGCAATGGGGGGCGGCGGAAGAGGAGGCGGAGGAGGAGGAAGGGAGGACGAATTTGTGCATGAGTTTATGTTGAGGGCTAATAGCGAGACTCTCAGTGGAAGCACTCTGTCAGAAGGGCAGCAGCAGGAGCAGCAGCAGCAACAGCAGGAAGGGGAGGAGGAGGAAGAGCAGCAGCAGCAGCAGCCGCAGGAGCATCAGCGGCAGCAGGAGGAGGAGGAGGAGCAGAAGCAGCAGGTGCTGCAGGGATGTGACTATACGCAAGCGGCTGGGCATGCACATGGTGATTGTAACGAGCAGGGGGTTGCTACAGGGATGGAGTGTGCTTTTGCTGATAATACTGCTGCTGACCGTGCTGTTCCTGTTGGTGTTTCCATGCCGTTACAATCTGGTAGCCGCTCAGCTGCTGGTGCGAATGGTCCGGGAGAAGCAGGAGCAGGAGCAGCAGCAGCGACAGAAGCAGGCGAAGGGATGGAAGCACAGGGAGGCCCGGTGTTCAGCTTTGGTTCGGGCCAAGTCTCGGAGCAAGGTCCGGCGCGAGGTTCGGAGGGAGGTTCGGAACAAGGGAAAGACCGGGAGCAGGAGCAGGGTGCAGGAGCAACTGAAGGGATACTAGAAATGCGAACGGTATTGCCTGGTGTGACTGTAAAGAATGTGACTGTAACGGGTGTGACAGGACACGGTGGGGCTACAAAAGGGGGTTGGAAGGAGGACTTTATAGTGAGTGGTTCGGAGCATGGTTTGTGGCTGTCGAGCCTGACAGATTTCCAAACCAAGAAGCTCGAGGAGTGGTTCGGCACGGACCTGAACCCGTCTCCGGAGCAGAGGGCGAGCGTCGGCAAGAATCTCGGGCTGCTGCCACAGCAGGTACGCTCTAGCAACAACAGATTGAGTCCATATCTTTCTGCAACAACAGCAACGATCAGCAGCACATTTCCTCTCTCTCTTGTTCTCTCCCTCCTCCCCTTCTACTCCCCTTCCCCCCCCCCACCCTCTTCCCCACCTCCAGATATCCTCCTGGTTGCATCACCGTCGCCTGCAACACACAGTGCAGCAGCAGCAGGCAGAGCTCGAGTCCCTCCGATCAGCCTTCTCCCATTTGTCAGTCCTACCCAACAACGCAACTCTCTTGGCAATTTCTCTCCCCTCTCCTCCCATCTCTCCCCTCCCCTCTTCCCTTCCTCCAGATCGCCTCCTGGTTGCATCACCGTCGCCTGCAGCACACAGTGCAGCAGCAGCAGGCAGAGCTCGAGTCCCTCCGATCGTCCTTCTCCCGCCTACAAGCATCAGCGAGTGGCATGAGCGGGGATTATGAGCTTCTTCAGGCGGACTATTTTGCTCTCTTGGACAAGAAGGAAGAGCTAACCAGCAAGGTGAGAAGGTGTAGAGCAGGTTGAGAAGTGGTGTAGTGCGGTGGAGTCCCTTTGATTGGCAAGTGGCATGAGCGGGGACTACGAGCTTCTGCAGGCTGACTATTTCCCTCTCTTGGACAAGAAGGAGGAACTCACATGCAAGGTGAGATACGGGGGGTGGTGTGGGATGACAAGGAGTGTGGTGCGGTGGAGTGGCATGAGCGGGTGTTATGAGCTTCTGCAAGCTGACTATTTCGCTCTCTTGGACAAGAAGGAAGAGCTAACCAGCAAGGTGAGAAGGTGTAGAGCGGGGTGAGAAGGGGTGTTGTGCGGTGGAGTCCCTCTGATCTGCCTTCTCCCGCCTACAAGCATCAGCAAGTGGCATGAGTGCGGACTATGAGCTGCTTCAAGCGGATTACCCCACTCTCCTGGATAAGAAGGAGGAGCTAACCAGCAAGGTGAGGGGTGATAAGGGGTGCAGTGCGGTGGAGTGCGGACTATGAGCTGCTTCAAGCGGACTACCACACCCTCCTGGATAAGGAGGAGCTAACCAGCAAGGTGAGATAATAAAGAGCACAACGAGGGGTGAGAAGGGGTGTAGTGCAGTGGAGTGCGGACTATGAGCTGCTTCAAGGGGATTACCACACCCTCCTGGATAAGGAGGAGGAGGAGCTAACCAGCAAGGTGAGGGGTGACAAGGGGTCAAGGGAAGGGTGATAAGCAATCTACGTTTTTGTGATAAGCATCAGCAAGTGGCATGAGTGCGGACTATGAGCTGCTTCAAGCAGATTACCACACCCTCTTGGATAAGGAGGAGCTAACCGGCAAGGTGAGACACAGGGCACCACAACGAGGGGTGATAAGGGTTAAAAGGAAGGGTGATAAGCAAGGTACGCCTTTGTGATAAGCATGCACAAGTGGCGTGAGCGCAGACTATGAGCTTCTCAAGGCACATTATCATGCGTCCCTGGATAAGGAGGAGGAGCTACCCTCCTTGGTATGTGATTGTGATGAGCATCCGCAAGTGGCATGAGCGGGGACTAGGCGCTACACAAATTGAATTATCACGCGCAACTGGATAAGGAGGAGCTATCAGAGGGGTGATAAGGGGTGTAGGGCAGGGTGATAAGCAAGGTAGCCTGTATTGATAAGCGCATCCACGAGGAATAGGTGATTATAATCTTCTTTGGAATGATAATCTGGATTTTCCATACCAAACAAGTTCTTTGTGCTTGTGCGAAAGGAACAGACTGTGTAAGACATTTCATGCGCGTCCCGTCCTCTCCTCTCCCTTCACACCTCTCTCTCTCATCCCATCCCTCTATGCACCTCTTTGACCTGGTTCAGTTTGAAGTTTAACACTTTGAAGTTTGACACTTTTAAAGTCAAACCAAACACCTCCCTCTCGCCGTTTATTTCTTACTCCCATTTCCCCCTTTTCCTCTCCACCCTGCTACAGCTGTCTGACGTGGCATCCAGGCTGGCAGCAAAGCATCGTTCCTTGAGCTCGGGCAATCCAGGCAGTTCTGGGGGAGGCGTTTCCCAGACAGGTGTTTTTCGGGCAGCTTCTGCAGAAGCAGGTGTTGATCGGGCAGGTTGGAACCAGCCCGGTGCCTCTGCAGAGGAGGGACGAGCAAGGGTAGCAGTTGCAGCAACAGGAAAGAAAAACCTGGCTGGGGTTGGAGTGAGGAATTGGTCTGGAGGGGCACTGGGGACAATGATGGGTAATGGAGGTGACTATGCTGAATGTGCTACTATCGCGATCGCAGATGCTCCTTCAGACACAGCTGCTGTTTCTCCTGGCACTGCTGCTGCCAATGCTGCCGCTGCTGCCGCTGTGGGTACCACTGCTGCTGTTCCCGTTGCTGGTCATGGTGATGGTTCTGCAGCTGCTGTTGCTGCTGCTGGCACTGCTGCTTGTGTGGCAGAACACGGAAGAGAACAACTAGCAGGGAAGGGAGGAGATGAGGAGGGTGTGCAAGGATCCAAGAGTTTCCAAAACAGCAACCACGAAACGAGTATGGAGGAGACAGGGAGTGACAAGGAGAAGGAGGAGGCGAATGCTGATGCTTCACGTGCTGCTGGTGGTGTTGGTGCTGACGATTACGGCCGTATGGTTGGTGCTATGACTTTCGATAGTCAACTCAAGGCATGTGGAAGCATGACGTTCTTGCATCACCAGCCTTCTCAGCAGCAGCAGCAACAGCAGCAGCAGCAGCAGCACCAGCATCAGCACGTCGATACCACAGCAGAAGCACAACCAGAAGCAGACGCTTGCGCAGCAGCAGCCGTGGCGGCTGCGGCAGAAGCAGCTGTGGAGTCCATGTGTACACCAGCATCAGCATTGGAATCAGCACCAGAACAATACACCACGTCCCTTTCACTGCAAATCCGCCCAGCTGCTACAGCTGCTGCCAACTCTGATGCTGCTGCTGCTGCCACTGCGGATGGCACTGCTGCTGGCAATGCTGATGCTGCCGCCACCACACCTACTACTTTCTTCGCGTTTGGGTCGCTACAAAGCTCAGTCTCCCCCGGTTCATCCCCCACACTGGTCTCCCCATCGCCTCCCACCTCTTCCCACCACACTGAGTGCACTCCATCTCCTCCTCCTCCTGCTGCAAATCCTGGTTCCAGCCATCCTGATTCTTGGCACTTAACTAAGAGACAGAGGGGACCATTTGACAGAACTTCTGTGGTAGAAGAAGCAGCAGAACCAGCTGCAGGATTCCCATCAGCAGCAGCAGGAGAAGCTTCAGGAGGGGTCACAGCAGCAGCAACGACAACACCAACTGCAGCAGCAGCAGCAGCAACGACAACACCAACTGCAGCAGCAGCAGCAGCAGCAGCAGCAAGATCAATAGGGTCCCAAGAAACTCATGCATTCGTCCCTCCATCACTCTTCCCTCCCACCTCCCCTGTGACTTTTGAACGAGGGGGCATCTGGGCACAAGATACACCTGATACATCACCTGATACTGCTGGTAACATGCCTGTTACAATCACTGGTTCTGCGGTTACCAGTAACACCATGCTGCAGGAGAGTCTGAATGGTTCAGGGCCTGCTGATTGTGCCAGGGCTCCACCAGACCTGTTCCCCACGCTGGCTGGTAAGCCACCGAACCTGCTGCTCAGGTTTGGAGAACAGGAAGATGCCGAGCCTGGATTCTCCGGTATGGAGGCCCTTGGGGATCTCAACTCACCCCATGGATTTTGGGACCACACTGAATGACTTGTGCTAGGGAGTACATTGCATGCTGCTTATGCTATTACTTAGTAGCTTATACAGTACAACTCTCCCCCCAACTCTTTACACGTGTTGATGTTTTGTTTCTCCCTGTTTTCCTATCTTTTAATAATGCATGGTTCAATATGTTGGAAACAATCGGTCCTAAGCGCCTCTGTCGTGTCGAAACACTAAGGCACAAGCGAAGCGAAGCATACCGAAGCACCTGCGAGTCAACCTTCGGAGGTTGAAGCAACCGCTGGAGGTTACTCGAAAGTCAAAGGTCAGCTACCTTTGACCTGACAAGTACAGCGCGACAGCAAGGACACACAACTGACTCGCTACAGAGCAGTTGCCCGAGTCGTCACTATATCGAACCGCAACAGCAACAGTAAAAGTAGTTACAACCGTATCTCTTCACATTCCTTGTACTCTTAAATATTCTTGTATCTCTTTGCTTCAATCAACTTACTTTGCCCTCACATACTAGCGCAAGGTGGTTCAGAATCCCTTTATTAAAACGCTTCCGCTACTACATCACTCTACCCAGAGATTAACCCTTGTCAAATGTTGTAGCCTGTAGTGAGGTTTGTCTTAGGGGGTACAGAAGTTAGGGTTTGTCATATGTACCCCAACCAACATCAATGGACACATCATTCCTCATTCTGACATGGTATCAGCTAGGTTAGGATCCTGTGGGATCCCGTTCCTCCGTTCTCCGTTCGTACCTCCCGAGCCTGATCCTACCTCTCGTTCGTACCAGTTCCGTTGTTACCGAGCCTAGCGCCCTTTCCCCCGTCGCTTAGCGCCCTTTCTCCCCGTCGCCTAGCGCCCCCCCCCCCCCCGTCGCGTCGCGCCCTTTCCCCCCCCCCGTCACGCCCTTTCCCCCCGTCGCGTCGTGCCCGTTCCCCCCGTCGCGTCGTGCCCGCCTGTTCCCCCCCCGTCCCGTCGCCCTGTCCCGTCGCGTCGCCCTACCCCGTCCCGTCGCCCTGTCCCGTCCCGTCGCCCTGTCCCGTCGCGTCGCCCTACCCCGTCGCGTCGCCCTGCCCCGTCCCGTCGCCCTGCCCCGTCGCGTCGCCCTGTCCCGTCGCGTCGCCCTGCCCCGTCGCGTCGCTCCCGCCCTTTCCCCCGTCGCGTCGCCCTGCCCTACGCCCTGGCCCGTCGCCCTGCCCTAAGCCCTGGCCCGTCGCCCTACCCTAGGCCCTGGCCCGTCGCCCTCCCTAAGTCCTGGCCCGTCGCCCTACCCTAGGCCCTGGCCCGTCGCCCTACCCTAGGCCCTGGCCCGTCGCCCTACCCTAGGCCCTGGCCCGTCGCCCTCCCTACGCCCTGGCCCGTCGCCCTACCCTAGGCTCTGGCCCGTTGCCCTCCCTAAGCCCTGGCCCGTCGCCCTACCCTAGGCCCTGGCCCGTTGCCCTACCCTACGTCCTGGCCCGTCGCTCTAGCCCGCTCTTCCGCTGCGACTGAGTCCTCTTCCCCCCCGGTTGTTACTCGCCTGTTCGTTCGCTTTAGTCCTCACTATGGCGACTCCGCGAGTTCTTCGTTTCGACGCTGACGGTAGACCCCTTGACTTTTCCGTCTGGCTTCTTCGCGCTCGCCGTCTGTTAGAGAGTCAGGTCCAGGGGGGCGAGACCCTCTGGTCACACGCTACTGGTGACCTCCCTGAGCCCCCCGAGCCTACAGCTTCAGGCCCTGCTCCTGACGACGCTGCTACGGCTCGCTTTGCCCGTCAGCGCGCTGACCAGACGGCTTGGACGTCGCGTGACGCTGCGGCCTGCATCGCACTCAGCAGCCTCCTCCCTGAGTCCGAGGAGGTCCACTTTACTCAGGTTCACACCGCTGCTGCGTACCTCACTGCGATTAAGGCCCGCTACTCTACTCCCGCTACTGTCTCTCTTGGCCGTCTTTTCCTCCCGTTCCTGTTTCCTGATCTTGCCTCGTTTGAGCGCTCTGCTGACTTGATCGCTCACCTCCGCTCGCTCGACGCTAGTTACCGCGCTGCTTGCACTGAGGCACAGCTTACACTGCTTCCTCCCCCCATGGCGATCACTGTCTATTTCATCGCCACTAGCCTCCCTGACCGCCTTGCCTCCGTTCGTGACGCGCTTCTGCTGAAGCACCCTAGTGAGCTGACTATCGAGGTCCTTGAGTCTGCACTCAAGGACGTCGAGAGCAACCTTCGTTCGGTAGCTGCCGCCTCTGGTACTGTGTCCCCCCCACTCTTCCACGGGTGCACAGTCCCGCAGTTACCCACCTTCACTGCCTCTCTAGCCACTGCCG